GGGAGAAGGGAGGCGAGCCGGGAGGTGGGAGGTGAGGCGGGAAGGCGGGAGGCGAGCTGGGAGGCGGGAGGCGAGCCCGGAGCCGGGAGGTGAGGTGGGAGGCGGGTGGTGAGGCGGGAGGCGGGAGGTGAGGCGGGAAGGCGGGAGGTGAGCCAGGAGGCAGGATGGGAGGCAGGAGGGGAGCCGGCCGCTGGGCCTTTTTGTAACCATGTGTCTCTTGTTCTTGTGTCAGTCATCTTTGCATTAGTGGCATCCTCTGGGGTGCAAGTGATAGAAATTCTCATTTAAATTGACTTTGGAAAAGGTGGACAAACTTCACTGATGTACAGCACCAAAGTCCAGTTGTTGTTGGGCGGTGGATTTCAGGCATGGCTGGATCCAGGTGCTCACATATAGAATTTTTTTTTCTTTCTTCACACCCCGTCTCTCTCTCTCTCTCTCTCTCTCTCTGCTCCACTTTTTTCTTTGTGGGTAGACTCACTCCAGCTTTTTCTAGGTGGTCTCCATTCTCTGTCTCAGGGACCCCTCTCTCATGGTCGTTTTGGCAGAAGTGCTGAGATAGTGTTATTAGCTAATTGGCTTTCACTGGAGCAAACCCTGAGGTCAGGGAGACTGAGGTCAGCCCTTGACTGGTGTGGTTGATTGCTCTCTTCCCAGTTAAGAGTGGTACGTTATTACTGTGCAATTCCACTCTGAGGTATAGACCCCCAAGACTAGATGCAAAGCAGGGACTCATGCAGATTCTTGTACACCAGAGTTCAGTGCGGCGTTATTCACACGATCAAAAGAAGGAGAACAAGTCAGGTGAATGATTTCAGGAGGGCTGATGCATCCATAGGAGACCAGGCCGTGGAGGGCGTTCGGTGTTGAGCTGCAAATGGAAGTGGTGGTGGTTCGAATCCCTAGCTGTGTTGCAGAAGAGAGATGAAGCTGCCAGCTCTCATTAAGATGTACAACCTCTATGACCTTTGGAGGGTCGGTATCAACTGCTTGGCCGTGGATTTGGGTTATCCTTACAATGAAATGTTCCTTAGCTATAAAGAGAAGATGTTCTAATCTGTGGTATGCCACGGACAGACCCTGAAATACTGAGTGAAAGCAGAGACACAGCAGAACTGATGGCGTTTGAATTGTATGGTCCACCTTCTCTAAGACGTCTCATGCAGACGTTGACACAGAGAGTAGGTCATGGGGGTGACCAGGGGCTGGGGTGGGGTGGAGGGCACTTCCTGTGACCTCAGGGTGTCAAATCTCTTTCAGGGTGATGACAATTTTGGCACCAGATGGTGGTGATGGTTGTGCAGTTCACGTCAACGGAATTGAATACTTGATTTTGGGATTTTCAGATTGGTGCCAGTTTTCCGTTCCACCCCATGTGGACCTTTGCCAGGATCTCGATCAGAGCCGTTGGTCGTGGTCACCAGGCACCGCTGTGTTCTGTGGCCGTAGGGCACTGTGGGTTGGGGTTTGCGTGGTTTACTGATGGTCCTGAGAGTCTTTTTCCTTCTCTGCTCTGGACAAGGAAGGAGCAGCAGTAGCATCTTTTTTTTTCCCCCCTTTGGAACTTCTTCATTATAATCTGGTCTCAGTTTCAGCTATCTTCACTTTACACATGTGCGTGCATACACACACACACACACACACACACATGCACACACAGAGCTTCTTGTCTTTTTATTACTAGTTGCATCTTTGATGGCTGCTGGGAAGCTTTTGTGACATCTGGGTTGTTTTGCTGCTCTTTGAACACATGGCACCCTGGCCTGGGTGCTGGCATCTGTGGGCAGCATGGGGGG